CGTCATCATTATCACGCGAACTCTCCCGTGTCGCCCTCGCAGTAGCAGCAACCGCTTTTGGCTCAGCCATCGAACAAAAAAAACGGTGAGCACGGCGCATCGCGCGCATTCAGGGGCGCGTCTGCGATCATTTGGAACCCCTCTTCCTTCTGCTGTGCTCAGTTTGGTGTCCTTCTGTTGTGTTCAGTTTGTTGTCCTTACCCCGCACCTCCAACGAGCACGGTTGGCTCCGTTGCAGGCGCGAAAGAGTGTTCAACATACACACACGTACATACAAAGGGTGTCACGCATTGTCAGATAATGTGATAAAGCATTCGATTCCCATGCGTGTCATCCAACAAAACATCATCTCGGTAGGGGGGGGGCAATCATTTCAGCCCAGGGAAAGCTGCCAGAGTACACAATCTCTACCGTAGACTCGCTTTCGGCAATGTTCGGTGCAATTGCCCCGGTGTTTGGATGCAATCCTCTCTACATCCTTTGTCATGCTTAGCGCCAAGTCGCTGTCCAGCCCCAGCGGGGTGCTGCAAAATGAAACATTCACCTTGGTTATTACGTTGCCAGCGCATACGCGGCGTGACAAGTACAACCTCACGCGTTCCAGCAAACCTCGTCAGTTTCGGGTTTTAACATCTGTAGCAATCGGCGCTCGGTGCAAGGCAGGATAGGCGAAAGCCACAGAGGCTGTCGAAAGACCTGCCACGAGGCTGCAACACCAGCGCCTCCCAAACACGCGGTGCACTCTCGCGTCTGCTATAACCGCGACACTCCGATCGCAGATCGGCCGTGTTGCGTGCGAGCCGGCGAGAAAACCGCGCGGTAACACAGCGACAAGTCTCACTGTGACACAGCGCACACGTTAAACAAGAACAAGACGACGTATACAGCCTGTGACAGACTGTGACAGACTGTCGTGGCAAGTGCTGTTAGTGAGCACCTATGAAGGCCGGCACGGCACACAAGCGGGTGGGTTGGCCAGCACCACGCCCGGCCGGCTTTGTGTGACGATGTTTACACACCGCACTAGGTTCTCAATTAAGGCTGAGTCGACCTAGGGAGGCCCATGACCGGTTCAGATAATTGGCACTGGTGTTGGCCGTGAGCGGGAATCGAACTCGGGAAGCCGGGTTCGGAGCGCAGCGCGCTAACCGCTACACCACACGCACACCCAGACATCCACACGGACAAACGCACAGACATACACACAGACATACACACAGACATACACACAGACATACACACGGACAAACACACAGACATACACACAGACAAACACACAGACATACACACACACAGACATACACACGGATAAACACACAGACATACACACAGACATACACACAGACAAACACACAGACAAACACACAGATATACACACAGACAAACACACAGACAAACACACAGACATACACACAGACAAACACACAGACATACACACAGACATACACACACACAGACAAACACACAGACATACACACACACAGACATACACACGGACAAACACACAGACATACACACAGACATACACACAGACAAACACACAGACAAACACACAGATATACACACAGACAAACACACAGACAAACACACAGACATACACACAGATATACACACAGACATGCACACAGACAAACACGCACACACACATACCGAACGGATAATTAACGTCACATGATGGCGAGAGATGCTGACCGCTTTCATCTATCAGTGGATTGATTGATCATGGGTGATTATGATTGTCGTGGCTGCTGCTGATGATGATGATAATTACAATGAAACGCATTCGCGCACCATAATGAACTGTAAACCATACATTATTTTACCAGGTAAGGTCCACTCTTTTTCAGAATCGACCTGGCCATAAATGATAGCCCAACGAAGTGGTTTATCATGTGACAATGTATATCACCCAAAAGCTCTACACACGAGCACGGGGAGAGAGACACGCAAACTCCAAATAAACAGCAGGCGTCAGGGTCGGGATCGAACCCACGATATCCTGTACACCAGGCGAGGTAGTTAACTTCTCGCCAGCGTGACACCCCAATGTAGGCGCACAGGCATCACGAGCCAGCCCCGATATGATCCGAGTGGAACGCGAACTCACACCGAACACGTGTTCGCGTGCAGCACACAAACCAAGAGAGCCAGACACACACACAACACACACAGACACGTGTGTACAACTCCGGGAGTTGCAAGAGCGACGCCTTCCACCACCTATTGATCGCGTTCCGCTCTCTTCCGAGGTGTACACCCACCAATCACGCGTGCATCACAGCGGAGACGCCGCATGCAAATTCAGAGAGACAGAAGCGGTGCTGCGTTAACGCATTAGCAGCTACAGACGGACAAGGCGAACAAATAAGAAGAGGCACGCTCACTCGTGTGAGCTTCACATCCCTTCTGGCATAACAGACCTCGCCACACACACACACGCGCGTTGTGTAGACACAGGCGCTACACGGCGTATTAATAATCATAATGCATACTTAAATGATCATTGTGACGTATGTATACTGTTGTATGTACCAGACGACTGCAACCACACCCTCCCGGGGGTAGCCGACAGAGGCTGTTGGGGACAAGTGCTCTGAGCGAGTGGCACACCGCCCTATGAAGGTCGTGGACACGGCTCACGGACAGCGCGGTGGTGGTGGTGACCAGCAGCACGCACGCCCAGCGCTGATGGTTTCATGCCCTACCGTTCCTCTCCGAGTCGACCTAGGGGAGGCCCGGTGAGTCCACCCACACGGAGTCCACCCACACGGTACGCCAGTGGAGGAGATGCGCGGGGGGAGGGGGGGCCCACGCGCGTTCGCCATTGGCAAGAAGACAATGCGCGTCTGGCAATGGTACAACGTAGCCACGCCACGATCGCTCTGCACAACAATGGGTCCATTTGTTTCGCGTTTTCAGTGCTCGCGGACGTGCGCTGAAAGTTTATTCCGCGCGGCTCAACTGCGCCGCGGTGTCGTTGACACGCGCGGGTCACGGCAAGTCACGGCTCATCGCGGCACGCACGCACACATGTACGAGCCAAGATAAATATCCCGCCCCTGCGTCGCCTTCAACAGACTGTTGGGGCAAGTGCTGTTAGCGAGCAGCAGCGCCTATGAAGGCACACGAGGGGGGTGGGTGGTCAGCGCCACGCCGAGCCGCCTTTGTCTCCCCGGCGGTGATGCTGACACGCCGCACCAAGTAATCATTTGAGGCTGAGTCGACCTACGTAAGGCCCACGGCTGGTTCAGGTAATCGTCACTCGCGCTAACTGCTACCCGTACCACTCTCCCCATAACTACGCACACATGTACACACACACAAGGAGAAAGATCCCCCGTATAGCCTTAACAGACTGTAGGGGCAAGTGCTGTTAGCGAGCACCTATGAAGGCCGGATCGGTACACGAGGGGGTGGGTGGCCGGCACCACGCCCGACCGCCTTTGTCTCCCTAGTGGCAATGTTAACACACCGCACCAAGTACTCATTTGAGGCTGAGTCGACCTAGGGGAGGCCCAGGACCGGTTCAGATAATCGTCACTGGTGTTGGCCGTGAGCGGGAATCGAACCCGGGTCGCCAGGTTCATTGCGCAGCGCGCTAACCGCTACACTACCGCTCCCCACATGTACACACACACAGGTGTACACACACACAGGTGTACACACACACAGGTGTACACACACACAGGTGTACACACACACAGGTGTACACACACACAGGTGTACACGCAACCAGAGCGCCCACACACCTAGCGTGCAGGTACCGCGCTGAGCTCACCTGCGCGCGTTTAAATCATCCATGACTTTATTTCCAGTCCCGCATGGCCACGTGTCCCCATATCAATCAGTGGCGTTGCGTAGCGTGCTCGGGCTTGGGGGCATGGCTGTAAATCCCCACACCCCAACCCCCCCTCTCTTTGAATCCGGGGCACCCGGGGTCCAATCGAGGCCCGTAGGTCCGGGCGCAGTTTAACCTCCTGCACAACCCAATAGCTACGCCACTGATTGCCAGCGCAGTGTTAGTATCGTTCCATTTGCGTGCATGCACGTGTAACGACACATTGTTGTTTGTTGTTATCATTATTTGTACATGCACCCGTGGATGCATCCCGACGGCACCGCGGTCACGGGCACGCGGCCGCCCGCACCGGAGCCACGGTGTCCACGGGACGTCACCGGGACCCGGTGGGACCTCCGCAATTGGAGATGAGGAGTGCGACTAAAATGACGGTCACAGAGCATCGGCGCGCACGTGTCCCACTTTGTGTGTGCATTTGGTGCGTGCGTTAGTATCGCGCTGTCGTGTATGGAATGCGTGTGGGTGGGAGGAGCGGTGGCGCAGCGGTTAGCGCATTGGGCTATCAACTCCGCAAAAATTTAGTTCGATACCGGATCTGTGCCTCGCTCAAGGATCGATCTCTAAAGAGTGGGGAGACAAAGACGGCCAGGCGTGGTGCTGACAACGCCACCCATCATCCACTCTCTCTCGTGTGCCCTTGCAGAAATTAATAACTAGCGCCTGCCAGAGCGTGCCCCCAGTCCGTACGTTTCGCCGTACGTGGCCAATCGTGCGTAAGTGTACGTTGGATGCGCGATGCATTAGCATGGCGATCGTGCGATAAAAGTGCCACAAACAGGCAGCATTCTACCCTTGCTTATGGCAGCAATGTGTTCAGGAGCTAAATGCCAACGTCAATGTCTGCTAGTCACGACGAGAGGGCTTTAGGAGAGACACAGAGAGAGAGAGAGTCCGTGTTATTTGTGTTACAACATTGGAAACGGTATTATACCGTGTGCCTACTATAAAAAAACCGTTAACCTAAACTGCAATTATCCCGCAACGCGCTCACTGCGTAACAGCGAGGTCCTTCAATCACGGGCCGGTGTCCTGTAGAGAAAAAAACCCCAAAACAGCGGCCACGCAGTCGCCTGTGGTGTCGCCACGCTACGGGCAGCAAGTTGCAGGCACAGCGGGGCGAGCCGCGGTGCGAGAGTCGTACCTCGCGCGCTGCCCATGGAGGCGAGCAGGATGAGAAGGGCAAAGTTCCAGAGCACGCAGGGCAAGGCGCAGGTGGAGCTGGCTCCGCGTGGCGGCGGCGCGGCTCCCGTCGTGGACGAGGTGGAGCAGGAGGAGGTGGGGCAGGAGGAGGTGGACGTCCGCGGTGCTTCCTGCCTCGGAGCGCAGCCGCGGTTTGCAGGCGTCCCGACAGACGAGCGACTGACGCTCCCATCATCTTGGCACGAAGTGGTGTTGCTCGTTGAATCAGCAACACCACCACCACCATAATCACCACCACCACCATCATCATCGCCATCACGACTGCCAGCACGGCTTCGTGTGGCCGTAGACAGGGGCTCGGCATCGCTGCTGCGCTCGGCGGACCGCTCGCCCATACCCGCGTGAATCTCGGCCGAAGCGCTGCCGCGCGGATGAGCCCCCGGGGCGCTGGCGCGCGAGGTCGCGGGCGCCCTGCCGCGCCGGGGCCTCCCCCACGGGGTGCCCGGCGACCCGGGCGTCTCGATGCCCTCTCCTTCACCCTCGTGGTTGTGGGCAGGGGCTGGCAGCCGAGGCGGCGGCAGCGGTGACCGCTGCGATGCGGCCCCCGGGGCCATGTCAGCGGCGATGACAGCCGCTGTGGCTGCTGCGGTGTGGTCTCGCGGAGTCCGCACGATTCTCGTGGAGATGGAATCCTCGTCGTCACCGGGGTTGCGTAACGGCATCTCCCCCATCGCTCCCCAAGCTGTCAGCTGACGTGTGACGGGGAATAGGGTACGGTGGAGCAGCAGAGAGACGGCAGAAGGCGGGGGGGGGGGGGGGAAGGAGGAGAGCGCGAGGCTGTCTGTCTGCGGCAGCGGTGGGCAGGCTTAGCGGAGCGGCGTGCGATGTTTGCTGGAATTCAGCTCGCCTGATTTATGCCCAACACTCTGCCACTCCGCTCTCCCAAAGCGGTGCGATTTCTGACATTATACTCTTCGCATACCAGCCCTCCTCCTCCTCCTCCCCACACCACCACCGCACACCCCAGCATGAGCCTCACGCTGCGTTTGCTCTCTCCTCTGAGTGGCCGGAAGAGAGCGAGCGAGAGAGAGAGAGAGATCGTTCTGGGGGCTGCGGGCTTCGAGCCTCGGATGAGTCGCGCAAGCACAGCAGCACCACGCACATACACAGGAGGTACACGCGACAAACACAGACTACCCCCCACCCACACCCACACCTCCCCGCTCCGCCTCTTCAGAGCGAACCCGTCAGCTGCTGGTGCCGCTGCGTGCACGACTGGCGCGCAGCGGTGGGGTCCAGTGTGGGCACTCCGCCGCCAGCGCGCATCCACGCGCAGTGCGCGCGCGGTCTGTGCGACTCGCGCGAAGGCGACACCTCGAAGCACTAGGGGCGGAGCGGCTTTTAGAAGACGCGCGAGGAAAATCAATCGGTTAGCGCGCCGAGCGCAGCGCCAAAAGAGGACGAGGGAGGGCGGATTTGGAATGTATCTGGGGTGGCGCTCTCGGCCAAGCGCAAGAGAATGCGGGGATTCTATGAAGAATAAAAAAAAATCCAACGGCACGGACTCTTTTAACACTCCGTGTCGAGATGAAGAGCCCGAACAGCCACGCGATCGCCAGTGTTTTAAGATGAGCCGGAAGAGTTTAGAACGCTGTTCCGGGGATTATTTTGGGCAACCAGTTACATCCATCTCAGCGCCCTTATTTTTGTCCTAATTGTTTGCGCGCGCGTGTGTGTGTGTGTCTGTATAAATATATTAATCAGTTCCATATGATTATTGGGATGTAGGGTATAATATGGGATGTTTATGGACAGGCGTAGCTTCTGCTCCCGTAGTAGTGGTAGTAGTGCCTTACGCTAGTCGACAAGACACCAACGATCACAACCTTACGACGCAAGTTGTAAGTTGTGATCGTCCATCAGCGTGTCGTCCATCAGCGTGTCGGCGAGAATATGGGGTGAGAAATCACCTTGCGTACACATGACCACATGTCGAGTCACGTGCTCTGGCATGTGGAACACGGGGCAAGTTAAATGGCCACAATTCATTGACCTTGCAGCTCACGTGTGGTGGGGTAAAATGTGGGTACTTCAACCTCTTGGCGAGGTTTATCTGGCAGGTGGGGGGGGGGGGGGGGGGGGGGGGGGGGCTCACTCGAGCAGAGGCCCTTCCGCCAGCAGTTGGCTTGAGCGAGCGATTGCAGGGCTTCGCCTTTAGATTTACCAGCGCGTCACTCGCACATCCCAACGATGTTCACCGCCCCCTCCTCCCCCGCATCTCCTCCCTGGCTCACGCCGCCCACTGCTCCATCTCACGCCGCGCTATGGCCACCGTGAGCAGGCGGTGACCGCGAAACGTCGTCGGCCAGGCGCGTTCCCAGCTCGTTGTAGAGGGAGGGGGATGGGGCCCGGTGGCGGTTCTAACTTTGGCGCGGCAGCCCTGGTTAACGCTGCCGGTGTATTCGTTTGTTCGCGTCTCAATTCGCTTGTCCTGGTGAGGGTCGCGGCGGCAGCGTGTTGAGTAGTGGCGGTCCACACCTCCCTTTCCCTGGCGACAGACTACACTATACACTACACTACTATACACTACTACACTACACTATACACTACTACACTATAGCAGCGTGTTGAGTAGTGGCGGTCCAGACCTCCCTTTCCCTGGCGACAGACTCCAGCACTACATCGCTATACACTACACTATACACTACATCGCTATACACTACACTACACTATACACTACGCTATACACTACACTCCACACTGCAGCAGCGTGTTGAGTAGTGGCGGTCCAGACCTCCCTTTCCCTGGCGACAGACTCCAGCACTACACTACTATACACCACTACACTTTATACCACTATACACTACTATGCATTACTATACACTACTATACACCACACTACTATACACTACACTACTATACATAGACTCTAGCTCTTCCTGGGGAATTCCCAGGCGTCCCCAGGCCAGCCGAGCGACACAGTCCCACTGGTGTATTACCTCTTTCAAATATTTAATAATAACAATAATGCTACGCGCTGTCCGCTACGCGGTGGATGTTAAAGATCCCGTGCCGGAGTCATGGTGCATTTTTTTCTCTCCAAATTTGAAGAAGATCAAACTAAATAATCACCCGCTAATGACTCCATTGGGATTATCCTGCACGTGGCAATCGTCGCTAGTAGCTACCCCCTACTGTGAAGGGCTTGGCAGGACCCTCCCGAAAAGAGTCACGGACACCCGCGTGCGACTCTGTTGAGTAAACACGCGCGACAATAACAGAGACACAACGACAATAACAGAGACACAACGACAATTGCAGAGCCACAACGACAATAATAGAGACACAACGACAATAACAGAGACACAAGGACAATAACAGAGACACAAGGACAATAACAGAGACACAAGGACAATAACAGAGACACAACGACAATAACAGAGACACAACGACAATAACAGAGACACAACGACAATAACAGAGACACAACGCCAATAACAGAGACACAAGGACAATAACAGAGACACAACGACAATAACAGAGACACAAGGACAATAACAGAGACACAAGGACAATAACAGAGACACAACGACAATAACAGAGACACAACGACAATAACAGAGACACAAGGACAATAACAGAGACACAACGACAATAACAGAGACACAACGACAATAACAGAGACACAACGCCAATAACAGAGACACAAGGACAATAACAGAGACACAACGACAATAACAGAGACACAACGACAACAAAGAGACACAATGCCAGGTGAAAACAGAATCAGATCTCATTGGTTTTTTTCGGTAAAGTCACGTATGTAGAAATACAATAAAATTATATTAAAGCAAAAAACAATCACGAGGTTTCGATCACAACGCAAGCGATCTTCATCAGGTGTCAAGAACAAATCACGGAGGAAGTGTCTGTGTTGTTGGCCTGACTGGATGTGCTTCACATAATGTTTTTTCAGGTTTGTTGAATTCTCGTCTCTCATCTTTTTGTTGTATTTACCTCCGTGATTTGTTCTTGACACCTGATGAAGATCGCTTGCGTTGTGATCGAAACGTCGTGATTGTTATTTTGTTTTAATATAATTTTATTGTATTTCTACATACGTGACTTTACCGAAAGAACCAATGAGTAATTTTATGCAGTCACGAAAGCTTTAATACTTTAGAATCAGATCTATGTATGTACACTGGAGGAATCCGATGAGCTATGATTGCTCGTTTTCACAGATGGCAGCCGATAGGTGCGGGTAAGAACGCCACAACAACAACAAACAGTACGACAACACGATAGGAGTGTAAAGTACAAGAAAGAACAACGCGGGGTCGTAAGAGGCGGCGACAGAGTTGGGAAGCGTCGTCCTCCAGCGGTAAACTGCCCACGCCTGATGATGATCACTATTCTCAACATTTGGTGGGACGTCACAACAACAAATAACACGAAAAACATACAGGAACGCGTTCTCTACCACGTATGCACGCCGTATATTCTGTGGTGTATACTTTGTGTGTACGCCTGTGAGAGCTACATAGGCACGTTGCGCGTGTCGCTGCAGCGTACGATTCTGCGATTGGCACAATATAACATCGAAATACTTGAATGCCTTCCGTTGGACATTACACTGTGTGATTAATGTTGACCAGAGCTGTTGGACCACGCTTAAAGTTCCAATGTTGATAAGTTTACCGATGGTACAAAAAAAAAATCAGAGCAGCAACAACAAAACCCCGAATTGTCACGCAAGAGATCGAAAGCAAACGTAATACCGTTACATACTAAATCTGTTAAATACTCAATCTGTTAAATACTAAATCTGTTAAAATCCTAAATCTGTTAAATACTCAATCTGTTAAATACTCAATCCTCCTGCAGCGCAAGGCGGTTCGTGCGGATCTTTCGAGACTGATCGTAAAACACGATTACAATCTAGTTTATCGGAAATATTACGGGGATGTATGGATGCGACTGTCGTGCTAATTTGTGACCATGTTAGTAGAACAATACCACTGCCCTGGACTGGGTGTATAGTCCACGCAGGTGAATTTACACGTCGCTAAGCGGCATCAGGCGCTCTCTCTCGACTGTCGCTAATTTGAATCTGGCTGGAGCGGACGCACAGCAATTGGCGCGCTGAATCTGAATGCCGAGGCGAGATACCCGTCACGGATAACATCAGTGGTAGGCGATACGAGGTTCTGGCTCCTCACCCCGCTCCACCAACCGGGGTGGTGAGGGATGCTCGTAGCCCGGGTAGTAAAAGTTCCCCCTCCCCGTAGAGCCCGGACAGACTGTTGGGGCAAGTGCTTTGAGCTCGCAGCGCCTATGAAGGCCGGCACGGCACACGAGGGGGTGTGGGTGGCCGCCACCACGCCCGGCCGCCTTTGTTCCCTGAGTGGCGAAGTTTTTTGTTTTTTTTACCATCGCACCAGGTACCCATTTGAGGCCGAGTCAACCTAGGAGGGTGGGGTGGGGGGCCGTGAGCGGGAATCGAACTCGGCTCGCCGGCGGCGGGTTCGGGGCAGCGCCAACGCGAGCGGACAGGGAGCGAACTATTGCGACGGGTGGACGGCATTGAGACGCGCCATGGAAATCGCCGCCGTGTGCCGGAGCCCCGAGGTTACTGGCGACTGAGACGTCGGGAAGTTTTGTGCCCCCCCCCCCCACTCCCAAATACCCCCCCGCACAAATTGCATCGGTGCACAATCTGTGGCGAGATCATCAATCGCTGCTGCTGCAGCTGCAGCTGTTGGCTCCTGCTGCGAGTGACTCAGTAATCCCTAGCCCCGCACCTCATCACCGCCTTGCTATCATGCCTGGTCAGTGTTCCCATTTATAAGCAGCAGCAGCAGCAGCCATGACCTGTCCACTGCTGGATGGAGGGGAGTCTGTAAGCCGTCGCTATCTATAACGACGATCCTGCGAAACCCCTCGAGTCTCGAGCCCTTGCAGTCGAGATGGGTGTACCTCGCCTCCGTTGCTTGGGACGACGCCTTCATCCAGCAGTGGATCGATCATGGCTACTGCTGCTGCCGATTCGCTTCCGTTGCAGCAAAGCCGTGGCACTAAGTTTCAATTGGAAATGCCGGCGCGAAGTTCGCTAATGGGGTGTTTTTTTTACGTTTCATTTTTCATTTATTTTAGATTTAACACGTTCACATATTCGCAGACCAACTGCCGACCTTTGCAAATGTCTACGAGCATTATTCTGTGCCATATGTCGAATCGTAAAAAAAAAAACGACTGGCACAGTTGAAGTTTTCCTTTTGAAGGGGCGAGCTTTTGCGCACGGAATCTTAAGGTTGTAATTAGGAACAAGCTGTTATTTCTTCATGTCCGAGCACGCTATTGCAATTAAAATACTTAAATTGGGATGGAATATTACGGTGAATATGATGGATGTGCAGAGGTGTGGATTGGTTGGCAGGGCCGGCCCTTGCTTGAGAGTAAACTCGTGACGAAATTATTTTCCATCCACGATCCCAGGTATTAGAGCGACACCTGCTGTCTGGAGGATATACTCGGCTTTATAATAATGATGATGTCCAGCTCTTTGTATATCCACTGCTGGATGATGGAAGGCCCGCTCAGCCATCGTGGCC